CACAAACTACGCTGAGTAAACAAACTGTGAGCTCGCGCTGTCAGGAGGCATTTACGAAATGCTCCATTATACAATATATTTCTATTCGATTATGAAATAGTGAATTCTATCAGTAAATAAAACTTTTATAAAATTGTAATTCTAGAAATGCGGGTGCATTTCGCGTCCCAAATAGCAACCTAACGTTATTATTATTGTTGTTTTTAAAATATGGATTGATGAAACAGTTTTGAATAATTAGTAATAATAGTAGGCTAATAATTAGTCAAGTTAGCCTATATATATATATATATATATATATATATAATATAAAGAATTATTAGCCCCCCTGAATTATTAGCCCCCTGTTTATTTTTTCCATAATTCCTTTTTACTCGAGAGAAAGTATTTTATATATATATATATATATATATATATATATATATATATATATATATATATATATATATATATATATATATATATATATATATATATATATATGCGGGTGCATTTCGCGTACCAAATAGGAACCTAACGTTATTATTATTGTTGTTTTTAAAATATGGATTGATGAAACCGTTTTGAATAATTAGTAATAATAGTAATGGCTAGTCAAGTTAGTCTATATATATATATATATATATATATATACACAGTTGAAGTCAGAATTATTAGCCCCCTGTTTATATTTCCATAATTTCTGTTTAACGGAGAGAAGGTATTTTTTAAACACATTTCTAAACATAATAGTTTTAATATCTCATCTCTAATAACTGATTTATTTTATTTTGCCATGATGACAGCACATAATATTTTACTAGATATTTTTAAGACACTTCTATACAGCCTTAAGTGACATTTAAAAGTTTCACTGGGTTAATTAGGTTAACTATTTAGGTTAGAGAAATTAGCTAAGTTATTGTATAACGGTGGTTTGTTCTGTAGCCTAGTCGAACAATTATATAGCTCAAAGGGGCTAATAATTTTGTCCTTAAAATTTTTATTTATTTTTTTATTTAAAACTGCTTTTATTCTAGCTGAAATAAAACAAATAAGACTTTCTCCAGAAGAAAAAACATTATCAGACATACTGTGAAAATGTCCTTGCTCTGTTAAACATTATTTGGGAAATATATTTAAAAAAGCAAAAAGAAATTCAAAAGGGGGCTAATAATTCTGACCTCAACTATATATATATATATATATATATATATATATATATATATATATATATATATATATATATATATATATATATATATATATATATATATATATAAATCAGCAATATCACACTCGTAGCTGTGCGATGTGGCTGAATATCGTGCACTACCTTCCCACCATTGCCGATGTAACTGAGGCCAGCTAGTTAGTGCTGTGCAGGTAAACCTCACTGCTCTGACCTCTAAAGGTGCTCTAGCGACGGACACTAGAGGACATGGTCTTCAGCCTCCTTGTTTGAGCAACCAGCTCCCATACAGAAGGTTGCCGGTTCTATCCCAGCTCAGAGCAGGTTGGGTGGTGTAGGACTGGCGGGGTTACATTGGTTCTGTGACCCGGATGGGAGAGGTTTAGGGGGTGAGTGTAACGGAGGCCAGCTAGTAAGTGCTGTGCAGGTAAACCTCACTCCTCTCACCTCTAAAGGTGCTCTAGCAACAGACGGTAAAGGCCATGATCTTTAGCCTCTTTGTTTGAGCAACCGACTCCCATGCTGAAGGTTGCCAGTTCGATCCCAGCTCAAAGCGGGTTTCGTGGTGTAGGACCGGCGGGGTTACACCAATACACATGTATGTTGGCACTGGTGGGGGGCTAGTGCACGATATACAGCCACATCACACTGTGAGTGTGAGTGTGATATGCTTTTACACAACACAGTGTTGCCAGATTGGAAATGTCAAGGCATCATACCAGAACCTCAAAACTATTGTATTTGAAATAAAATGATCGTATACGGGTCAAACGGTGAGTACACAGCTATTATCTAGACAAATAGCGTTTTGACACAACACATAAAAAAAAAATAATAATAATAATATATATATATATATATATATATATATATATATATATATATATATATATATATATATATATATATATATATATATATATATATATATATATATATATATTCATAACACCGAGTTGCTGTCCTGTTTGTGTTGCCAGATCTTAAGGGATCCATTTTGAGGTACAAATCGGATGCCGTCATGGACCGCAACATTTTATTATTATTGGCCATGTACATTCATTGAATTAAACATCTGAATCTAAACACTGCAAAGTCTAATGTAGAAGGGAAAAACAAGCTATGCTATTAGCAGTGGGACAGAAATAACAGTGTTACTGTCGTCCCCACAGGAATTCTTGCCATTAAAATCTGATTTACTTTTAAACTGAAAAACTCAGACACAGGGATGTGTTATTGCACTAGATAGGCCTAACTTTTATTTATTTTTAATTTTTGGTTTAACTATCCCTTTAATTTAGCGACATGGTGGCTCAGTGGCTAGTACTGTTGCCTGACAGCAAGAACTTCACTGGTTTGAGTCCCGGCTCAGTTGGCATTTCTGTGTGGAGTTTGCATGTTCTCCCCATGTTGGTGTGGGTTCCAAAGACATGTGGTACAGGTGAATTGAATAAACTGGCCATAGTGTATGTGTGTGAATGAGTGGGTATCTGCTGTGTAAAACATATTCTGGATAAGTTAGCGGTTCATTCCACTGTGGCAACCCCTGATGAATAAAGGGACTAAGCCAAAGGGAAAAACAATGAATGAACGAATCCTTTAAATTAAAAGAAAAAAGTTACATCATGCAGTTTAATGCCTGAAACACTAGATGGAGACAAAATATTTAAGATGTTCACATCTCACCAATTCTGCTGCCTGCCGAATTTACACTCCAAAAATTCTGGGTTGTACTGTACTTGGGTAAATAATGGAAATATCCGTTTAAGGGCCTAGAATAGATTATATGATGAGCTCAGTTTCATCCCTCTTCAGAGTAAAATTGTAATAATACGTGTCATTATGTTTTCTGTAAAACCCAACAGTCAACTTTATTTTAGTGTGGTTAACTCAAAATTGACTGAAAGTTAATTCTACTCATTTGAAAAGAGTTTTGCAAACCTCATTACTTCAACTTTGAGTTCTCTTCATTTATTGGGTTTTACTGTGCTCAGATTGCTTCATTTACTCAAATGGATTAAGTCCATAGTACTCATTTGGATTAGTTTTTAACTTAAATTGTTTGAGTTGCCTTAACTTTTTGGGTTTTACAGTGCAGGGATTTTGTAAAGTGTGCAAAATCTTTACAAAATACTGACATACTTTGCCTAAATCCATCAGGCCTTCTATACATTTCCTGAGCACTCTACACAATACTGGGATTTCACACATTGTCAGTAACATATATATCTTCTTTTAAAGTCTTATTTTGTCTGGTAAGGCTGCAATAAAGCCAGTTTTTAATTTGTAAAATGATTTTTAAGGGTGACGCAGTGGTGCAGCAGGTAGTGCTGTCGCCTCACAGCAAGAAGGTTGCTGGGTCGCTGGTTTGAGCCTCGACTCAACTGGCGTTTCTATGTGGAGTTTGCATGTTCCCCCTGCATTCGCGTGGGTTTCCTCCGGATGCTCCGGTTTCCCTCACAGTCCAAAGACATGTGGTACAGGTGAATTGGGTAGGCTAAATTGTCCGTAGTGTACGAGTGTGTGTGTGAATGAGTGTGTGTGGATGTTTCCCAGAGATTGGTTGTGGCTGGAAATGCATCCGCTGCGTAAAAATGTGCTGGATAAGTTGGCGGTTCATTCTGCTGTGGTGACCCCGGATTAATAAAGGGACTTAGCCGACAAGAAAATGAATGAATGAAATGATTTTTAAGGTCAATGTTTTTTTAGCCCCCTTAAGAAATCCCCCAGCCCCCCTCCCCCCATACATCAAATGAAATGAATGTATTTAACTCAGAATTTACTAAAAATTAATTCTACTTATTTGAAAAGAGTTTTGAACTCCGTGTAAACGGAATGAGTCAATTTAATACCTCATTACTTCAACTTAAATGGAGTAAGTTCACATTATAGATTAGTTTTTTTAACTCAAACGGTTTGAGTTGCTTTAACTTATTGGGTTTTACAGTAGTCAGTGGTTTGAGTTCTCTTCATTTATCGGGTTTTACTGTGCTCAAATCACTTTGTTTACTCAATTGGATTAAGTTCACGGTATTCTTTATTAGTTTTTGAACTTAAAATGGTTTGTTGCAATCGATTTCCTCAAATAGTTTGAGTTACCTTAACTTTTTGGGTTTTACAGTGTGTTAGCCAAATGATTTGTTTCCTCACAATCTACCAAGCTAGGTCAGAGTTCATGGAGACCTCTTGAGTGGAGCTGGACTCTTGAATGATTGGAAACAACTGTTTCCTGAGTTATTTTTGCCATTTTATGTGTTAAATCTTTTAAAGTTAATTCCTTTGTATGTAAGCTGCCAGTTTGAATGTGATTGTACCAGTTTTAATAAGACGGCTGAGAGTACACTAAACAGCCTTGAGTAAGAACAGATTGTAATTTGTGTGTGTGTGTGTGTGTGTGTGTGCGTGTGTGTGTGTGTGTGTGTGTGTGTGTGTGTGTTTGTGTGTGTGTGTGTGCTTGTGTGCGTGTGTGCGTGTCTGTGTGTGTCTGTGTGTGTGAGAGAGGTCTGGGGTCAACTATGAATACCCTACTGGCTGTTTGACTTTTGTATGTGACGCCTAAGTAATCATTGGAAAACATTTTTCGGAATTACACACACACACGCACATGGAAATTGTCTCTGTGTTTTAATCAATCAAGTTAAAATGTATGACGTAGTTAATGTTGTTATTGTTCTTGTTTAGAGATTGTAAGCAGAGTGGCCTACGAACTCATGGCGAGTACTGAAGCTGGCTTCTGTTGATGAAACTGCCAAGTATCTTCAGTAAACTTTCTTTTAATTGAATCTCCTGCGTGTGCAAAGGAAACTCATTTCGGCTGCTTGTATCCGGG